ATATATATATATATATATATATATATATATATATATATATATATATATATATATATATATATATATATATATATATATATATATATATATATATATATATATATATATATATATATATATATATATATATAGATTGGGGTGTCTAGGCAGCTCACATATTTATTTAATATAGTAAAGTATAAATTAATAAAAGAAACGAAAGAGTTTAATTTTATTAAATAAAAGAAACAAAATACAAAAAAAAAGAAAAAAAATTGTCGCTAGCAACAAAAAACGGTTTATTTTTTTGCTCGTTTTTATCTTTTTCAGAAAACCAGCCCCATGCATGCTCGCTGCATGCGTTCCCTCGGCCTGTATAAATAAAAAAATATAAATATAAATAAATATAAATAAATAAATATAAATAAATAAATAAATAAATAAATAAATAAATAAATAAATATGTTGATTTATTAATTAATTTGTAGTAGAGAGATTAATTAAAAAAAATTAAATAAATAAGATATACAAAGATATGCATGCATGCATAGGTGCATGTACACCCCAGATTAGGGTTTAGGGTTTAGGGTTTAGGGTTTACATATTAGGGTTTAGGGTTTACATATTAGGGTTTAGGGTATAGGGTGCACAGACTAGGGTTTAGAATCTACAAATTAGTGTTTAGGATTTAGGGTTTATCGATGAGGGTTTAGGGTTTAGGGTTTAGGGTTTACATATTAGGGTTTAGGGTTTAGGGTTTACATATTAGGGTTTAGGGTTTAGGGTTTAGGGTTTAGAGAGAAGAACCTAGAGTATAAATATTACGAGGGTTTATCAATTACTATCTAGCGTTTAATACATATCCATTAGGGTTTAGGGTTTATGTATTAGGGTTTAGGGTTTAGGGTTTATGTATGAGGGTTTAGGGTTTATGTATTAGGGTTTAGGGTTTAGGGTTTACATATGAGGGTTTAGGGTTTAGTGTTTATGTATGAGGGTTTAGGGTTTAGGGTTTATGTATGAGGGTTTAGGGTTTAGGGTTTAGGGTTTATGGTTTACATATGAGGGTTTAGGGTTTAGGGTTTACATATGAGGGTTTAGGGTTTAGTGTTTACATATGAGGGTTTAGGGTTTAGGGTTTAGGGTTTAGGGTTTACGAGTTTGTGTGTTTTAAGGAGAACGTCTCTCTGTGCCCGCAGCTGCTGCATTATATTAACTCCCACTTCTTCTGTCTTTGCTGCTGTTATGCTGCTTTCTGCTAGCAGCCTGTTTCCTTGAGCAGCAGCAGCAGCAGCAGCAGCAGCAGCAGCAGCAGCAGCAGCAGCAGCAGCAGAAGAGGAAGATGATGATGATGATGAGGCAGCGTATGATGGCGGGGTCTGTGGATAC